CCTAGAACCTTCAGCCTAAGGCTGCAGGGGGATGGGTTGGGGAGGAGCAGATGGCAGGAGGGGAAGGCCAAGGGTAGGAGGTAGTCTTAAAGGGTGTGTATGTACGTGTATGCATTAACAACTTGGAAGTAACTGGAGGGGTAGCATGGATGAGTGTGAGTTTACATACCTGAAAAAGGCAGCCTCCTCCAGACAGTCCTCCCTCCAGAAGTAGCTCCTGGTTTCCAAGAAGGGAACGTATAAGCTCTCAGATTGGTCTCTACAGACTCCCTTACATAGTTGTGAGCTCCAGTCCCTGCATCGTGACAACCTACACTTCCCAGGTGGGAGACTGGGCTAAGCCCTTGGGGGTGAGGTTTTCTGACCTGCATGACTGGGAAGACTTGACCAAGTCCCATGTGATTTCCTTGTACCCAGGCTCCCACCCTCCTCCTTTAGGGTCTCTGGGCTCGGGCTAGCTCTCATGCAGCCTTGGCTTCAAGTTCCAAATCCCCACTGACTCTGTGATCTTGGGCACTATATCTACTTATATCTCAGCTCCCTATTCTGTAAAACGAGGTAAAAATCTTGGAGGGGTTTGTAAGGATCCCGTAAGTCTCTGGCAGATGCCTGGTACAACCTAGGATACCCACACAGATGGTGACTGGAGTCAGCTTCAAGTCAGGCCTGCACCTTCTTACTGAAGGGCAGGCATTGGGAGGCCTGAGTTCAAGTCTCAGTAGGGTTGGTTAATCCTATCAGGTCCTAAAGACCAGCCCTGCCTAGCCCCATGGGTCTGAGAACCCAGCCCCAACATTTCCCCAGAGATCTTCTGGAGAATCTCACACTGTGCTCCTTCTGGTAACAAAAGTTGCCGGTCTCCTTTAGTGTACCCCATTTTGCAGATGAGAAGACTGAAATTCAGGAAAGCCAAGTCATTTGCCTGAGGCCCAATAGAGGATAAACGCAGGACTCAGGATTTGGATCCAAGTTTGTCTGACCACAAAGCCTGTCTGAGATTTGGTTGGCTGAAGGAGTTTCCGACATCAGCGGAAGAGGATGTGAAGGTGCCTGAAGAGGAGATTTAGAACAAGTCTGGCCACGTAGTCCCTGTACTTGAACTCCAACAATCTATGGCCCTAGGAAGACCTGAGTCATGTGCCTCAAACGTGACTGAGGTCTTCCTAGGCAGAACAGAGGGAAAGGAATAGGGCTTCAGTGGGATGGATATGGGTTTGAACCTCAACTTGCCCTCACTGGCTCCGTGCCACCTAAACAAGTCACTTAAGAAAATTGAGCCTCAATTTTCTCTTCTGTAAAATGGAAAGAAGCACAGCCATCTCCGAGGTGCTGTGTAGTGCTCAGGCAAGGGAAGGTGCCTTTGGAAAAAGCTTCTCATCCCCCAAGGACCCAGTCCAGCAACCCTTTGTGGTAGCAGCTGATGTAAGATCTGTCTCAGCAACCCAGATTAGACCTCGGAAGATCCTGGGCCAGGCAAGGCAAGGACAGGTGTCGCCTCATCTCTGCTTTCCTCTAGGAGGGAGGCAATAAACTGCCCACATCTCCCAGTGAGATCACAACTGGACACAGCTGGCTTCTGGCTGCATCTCACTCAGCCTCCCTCAGACCTGTCTGACCATCTCCTCTGACTCTCTTATGCAAATTACTTTCATCTGAATAGACCAAACTCCTTATCACCATTCCTAGACAAACTGCCCCTCTCCACACCCCTCCCCACCCCAGCTCCAGGACTTGTCCCCAAGGTAGAAAATGTGATCTTGCCAACTAAACACCATTGAGAATCAGACTGCCCTGGCCTAGCCCTCACCCCTGCGCTATTTCTTGTACCTTCTCTCATCCCCTGTCCACCATAAGCCATATTATGCCGAAGGCAAAAGTTATCAGTAATTCTGGCTAGCCTTTTGCCTCTTGTCTCCCTCTTCCCCATGGGTGACCCTGACCTGTCGCTCACAAGCCTTCCTGGAGTTGCAACACTAGGTGCCATTGTTTGTCTAATTTCACAACACCTCTGCATGTCCAGTACCTCTTGGCCCCAACATATCCTGGAAGGACAGGCCAAATGACCCAGGTGTGTCTGCTGCAGACAGAACAGGCACAGGGCAGGGGACAGATGTCCATGATCAGATTCTGCCTTCAGAGATGACCTTACCATCTTTTTCTTGAAGCTTCAGTTTGCTCAGTTATAACTGGGAGAATTGGATAAGAGTGCTCAAGTGTTCTTCTAGTTCTGATATTTCATGTCTCAAAATCACACGGCAGAAGATTCATCCAGACCTTTACTAAGACACCTACCATGTGCTGGGAACTGGGATGCTGGGAACTTGTCTGATATGGTAGCAGCCAGCTATAGAGCATCATAATACAGTATGGTCAGAGCTAGGACTAACTTAACTGTTAGTCAGGAAGAGTTGTCCAGGGAATGGTCATTTGAGTTGGACTTCAAAGGATGAATAGGAGTTTGTGGGTCAAGAATCAGGATATATGAAAAAGGAAAAACTTTCAAGCAATACTGTTCAACATTTGGGCCGTCTCAGGAGATAGGGAGTATCACTGGGGTATGGCTACAGAGGCTGAAGACCTGGAGTGCCAAGAAGATGGGGGATGGGGGCTGGCCAAGTGCTATTTTCTAGACTCTAGAGACCAAAATCCATAAGCTCCTGAGAGTTTGCCCATGGATTCTGTTGGTGAAGGCTCAACCTGCCCCAAACAGGACAGATCTAAGAGGAGTCCATGGGCAGGCAAGACTCAGGGTTTCAAATGGACAAGGCACTATGGTGGGAGACTGGTTGCAGGCATGTTGGTGGCTCTGGACTTGGAGACCTTAGACTATAGTCACACGTTTGGCTTAACTCTTGTCATGTCCTTGTCCTTTTCCTAACCACCACACTCCTCTGAGCCATGTGCAACTTCCTCATTCATAACTTGGGTGGCTCACAGCAGCCATCCAGGGGTAGTGGTGAGGTTAAAGTGATTTACTGGTTTGTGGGTGGCCTTTGTCAACTATAAAGCATGCTGGACACCAAAGGGATTATTATTGTTGAAATGGTCGTTCTAACTGGCCCCTTTGGTGTAGTTTGTTTTCTAATCTGGGAAAGTGGTTTGCCCCAATGGATGTTGTAGCAATAATGGTGGGATTTCTGGCTCAGGCACGGGAGCTGGGACCAGATGTGAGCTGCTATGGGCCTTTCCCTTCTTCCCATCTCTAGCCTGAACTTGGCCCCTTTTGTGGGCGGTGCCTCCAGATTCTGGGGAAGGGGCTGCTCCTGACCAGACCCTGGTCAGTATGTGGGGGCTGATTGGGCCGAGGCTGACTTAGAAGCCTGCCTGGAGGGGTGGCCAACAGAATCCCCCTCCCATGTACACCCCCAAGAAGACACTGCTATGGGAAGCCCGTGTCCCGAGTTGCAGACATGGGGATGAGACCCTTTTTGAGGAGTGTCCTGGGCTGCTCCTTCTGAACCCCAGCAGGGTGCTTGCCTGCCTGCCCCCTGAGTCACTTCTCTGTCCCTAGAACCTTGAGTGATCACCAGCTCTCAGCATCTTTAGTGTCTCAGCATCCTCTCTGTGTTGAGGCCACTCTGCCTGGCCTAGGGGGGAGCAGAATGGGCCCCTTTCATGGGACTAGGGGATGAAGAGCAAGGGAGTATTTGAGTGGTCCCCAGGAAGGGGCCAGCTGCAAGCGCTCCCTGCTTTCTCCCTTCCGCGGCCCCTCTGCGTGGCCGGGTTCTGATTTTGGTGCAGTGCAGACTTTCAGCTTAACGAGACAAATTGATATTCTGTGCCAGCCCAGGGATGGAGCGGCAGCTCAGGATGCTCAGCGGGCAGGGGGCGGGGACTGGGCAAGGAGGCAGCTGAGGTGTAGAGCTACCTTCTGGGGTAACCCCCAGCCCACATGCATGTACCCCTCCACTGACAGGTGCTCCTGTGACTTAGTCCTGTGGTTCCTTCTGCCTTCAGTCCCCTCCTCTTAAGCAGGGTAGCCCTCCTGGAAGGTACAAGGCTGTGGAGATGCCTTTTCTGCGCACCCCACCCTCACAGTGACCTCCTCACCTTGCTCCTAGAGCTGACAGCCCATCAATCTGGATTTAAAGGGGCAGCAGGTTTACCAGAGATACAGCAGAAAGAAGCAGGCAGCTGGCTGTGGGGGACTTTCGTTCACATAGGCTCCTCATTGAGGGTTCCTGGGATCTTCTGGATATGGTCAGCTCCCAACTCATCCCAGATGTACATGACATGTACTAATGCCTCAGGAAAGGTTCTTGTAGGGTCTTCTGCCTGGCTTACAGCCTCCTAAAGAGGTGAAGGTGTGCCCAGGCTGGTGGCCAGGTTGAAGGGGCCTCGTTTGAGTGGACACTCAGGCAGGATGTGCTTTGCAACTAAAGAGGCATTTGGTGTGTGTTTATTCTATCCTCCCCATGTAACCTTTGCCCCCAGGTCTTGGGGTGTCCTCACCAAAAAGGGGGAGCCAGAGCCCCTGCCCTGACAAATGAATGCCCCGGAAAGTCAGGAAAGACTTGGGGCCACTTGCGCAAAACCCTCCCCTCTCCTTTCTCCTCTTCCATTCCCCACTCCCAAATCTCTCAGGACCCTAGGCACAGCCCCAACCCTAGCCTCTCCTTGCCCTTCACATATTCCCTCCTACTTATGGGGAGCGGGCAGATTCCTGGGACTCTGCCAGCTTCGGTTCCTCATGATCCCACGGGAGGAATTAAAACCGCAAACAACACCGTGGTGGTTCGGTCCACACACACACCCGCCCCCCACTCTCCTCCCCCAGCGCCCCACCAGAACAAGCTCTCCCTTGGTCCCTCCCTGCGTCCTCCCGCCCCCTCCCCCTAGCCTCCGGCAACGGCAGGGGCGGCCTCTGCCTCCCCCGAGATTGCATTTTGCCAGCGAGATGCTCTCCTAGAAGCCGGCGCCGGCGCCTCCACCCCCCCACCCCAGCCGCCCGCCCCCCACCTGCTCGGGCAGGATGGTACAGTCTGCAGAGGGACCGGGCTCGCTGGCTGGGCTCAGCCGCGGCACCAGCTGCCGCACCGTGATACGGGCTGCCCGCCTGGAAGCCGTGCTGGATTGGGGTGATTTGCGTAGCCAAGTAAGTACCGGCATCCCCCAGCATGAGAAAATAAACAATAAAAAGCACCCCACTCTACTCTCCCCCTTCCTCCCGCACCCATTTTATTTGGTTGCATTTCATTTGATTCCTCCCCCCCCCAACTGATGGTGGCGGTGTGTGTGTGGGGGGGGGGGACAGCGGGGCTTGTTTATCTGGCAGCCGCTGTGGCTGTATTGGGAGCCGCTGCTGAGAGAGACACTCTGTGAGGGTCTGGAGAGGGGTAGCTGGGATGATGGGGACATGGGCAGGGGGAGCCTCAGACGTGCGGATGCCTGAAATCTGAGTAGATACCCACAGCCTCCCAAAGGATGTTACGCAAGGGCCAGCAAGCCGGTGGAAGGGACAAGGTTCTCTTCTCTTTCAGCCGCGTCCCAGAGAGACTCAAAGGATCAGAGGGTGTCCCTGTCCGCCCTGGCCATGGTCCCCGGAAAGAGTCAGGGTGAGGCCCCCCCATGGAGGGTCCCCTTGGGGTGGGCTGCTGTGTGCCGGGACCCATTGGGTCAGTTTGTCCAGGGTATATGATGGCAGAGGCATGTCCCCGTGCCCCCACACTGTCCAGTAGGGGGACAGGAGTGGTGTGGCCAGGCCACTTTGCAGCAGTCCTGCTGGATGGTAGAGTTGGCACTTTCCGTCCAGAAACCTAGTTCCTTTGCCAGGGCCTCTGGGGGAGTGCTCGGGCACCTGGGACTCCTCCCTGCCCCCTCAAGAGTGGAGAGTAGGGACCCTGCAGGGAGTCTCTGGACTGCCCAGGGAGGGCTGCTTTGGGGTAACCACCACCTTCCAGCCAAGGGGTCACCCAAAGAGTGTGAGATATCATGCTGCCGTCCGCTCACCCGGGTTGTGGGGAGGGGTCTCAGCGCCTGACCTGCCCCACTTAGCCAGGAACCCTGGGGGTGGGGGTCTCAGGCACTCCAGGATGCCCAGCTTGACCTTCAGAAGGGTAAATGAGCTGCGCGCCTGGCCAGCAGAGGGTCTTGTGTGACGCCACAAACTGCACGGAAGGGGCTCCCTTCTCGCCTGCAATGCTCTCGAGTCTCTGGGAGGAGGCGATTTGACGTTTGGGGCATTTCCAGGATCGGCAGGCACCATCCAGAGAAATTCTCCTTTGACGTGTGCAGTGGGAGGGGGCTTGGAGCACCGGCCATGGCTGCTGTCACTTAACTTTGTTTGTTCAGGGATCCATGGTGGGGAAGGGGCTGCTGCTCCTGGAGAACCTGGGAGGCTTCAGGAAAGATGCCCATGACCCATATTTTTCAACCTTCTTTGTACCGCCACTCGTGTTCTCATCAAGACATACCTGTGTCCAGAGATTTGCACAGATGTAACACACACACACACAGCAGGCACCCTGTGTCCACAGAAACACCCAGCACATGTAAACACGGCTCACATCTCCTACTGTCATATGCTCACATGCAGATGCATTATGCATGGAAATGCAGTGCATACACACACACCTGTGCATGCCCACACTTGCTTGCAGCACCACACAGGAACGCAGCAAACTGCACCCAGGCTGCACCCTGCATCAGCCCCAGAAGTGCTGTGTGGCTCTGGGAGTTTGGCCCTGTAGGGAGGTGGCCATTACACATATGTAGTGCCTGAATGCTTGCTGCATGTGTCAGTGTGTCGGCAGGTACACATGCTGGGCTGTATCCACAGGTGAATGTAGGCTGCACAGGTAAGAGACCACAGTGAGCAACCAGATGCAGCACCTAGCAGGTACTGCCTGTATGCATTCAGGCATCCTAGATGTAGGTGAAGGGGGCTCTGTGGAAGCTGGGAGAGGCTCGCCCCCTCAGGGGACATCCCAGGAGGACAGAGGGGACACCACAGCCCCTCTCTCACAGACTTGAGAGATGGGCCAGCTTGCATTTCCAGGGAGCTGTGATTGGGCTCAGCAAGCCCATTTTGGGTTATTGGCGTTCTGCAGGGAAGTCTGGCCAGAGTTAGAAAGGAGATAGAGGAGGGGCTGTCCTGCCACTGCCCACGGCCCAGACAGCCAGGAGCCTGATTGACCCGGCCACCCCCATTCTCTTACACCAGGAAATCAGCCTGCTGCATGTGCTCTGGGACACATGGGGCTCAGGATGCTTCCAGCAGCCCCCCAGACCCTTTCCAGACATAGCAGCCGCCTGTGGCTTTCAGTGTGTGCAGAACCTGAAGTGCAGGGCCCTGCTCTCCCGTCTGTCCCCTCCCTTTGTCCTCACTAGCCACAAGGATGGGGAAGAGAACCTGGGCAACTAAGAATAACCCCACTAGCATTCACTGAGCTGCACACATTGCCCCAATGAGGCCTCCCATTGCCCTGTCAGCTGAGGCATCTGCAGCCAGAGACATAAAGTCAATTACCCAAGGTCACACGGCTGGAAGGTGTCAGAGGTGTGATAGAAACCTGGCCACTGAACCCCAGCCTGCCCTCTTAGGCCCTCTCCTACACTCCTGAGAGAACCCAGTTCCAGTGTGGGGTGCCAACATCTTGAGAGCTAACAGGCCAAGAATTTAGGATTTAGGGGAAACACCTCTCCAAAGAGCCTGTGGGTGAAGGCAGAGGTCTGCCACACTTTATTCACATGGTAGAATCAAGGACACTTATAAAGCCAAATGTACATTCTGAGATTGCCTGGCCTGGGCCCATTTACAAGAGGAAAACTGAGGCCCAGACAGGAGAAGGGACTTGACCAAGGTTACACTGTGTTTCCAGAGAGCTGGGATTCCTGCCAAGTTGTCTCAAGTTCCAGACAAAAAACAGCAGGGGGGGGGGGGGTTGCTGTCTAGGCCCCTGGCTTCTCCCAAGAACCTGATTCCAAGTCAAAAGGATGAGGGTGCCTGGCCCAACCTCTCCTGATCAGCTGTGTGACCTTGGACAAGTCAGTTCACCTCTCACTGAGCCTGTTTCCTCATCTGGGGCCATGTCTGCTCCTGCCTTGTCTGATCTTACAGCTGTCAGAGCCTTGGGCACTATAGAGAGCTGAGCACAGAGCTGTAATTGACTTCAGAACTGGAGCTAGAACAGGTGAGTGAGCACTTTGCTACTCGGATTGGCAAGCTTTGTGATCAAGAGAGGGAAGAGTTCTCAAGCATTGTTGTTGTTCGATGCCAGCAAGTTGGCTTTGACTCATAGAGACCCCATGCACAACAGACTGAAACACTGCCCAGTCCTGCATTATCCTCACAAACAATTGTTATATTTGAGCCCATTGCTGCTGCCCACTGTGCCAATCGATCTCAATGAGCAACTTCCTTTTTGTTGATCTTTTACCAAGCATGATGTCCTTCTCCAGGGACTGGTCCCTCCTGAAAACATGTCTAAAGTATGTGAGACCAAGTCTCGCCATGCTCGCTTCTAAGGAGTATTCTGACTGCACTTCCTCCAAACAAATCTGTTCCTTCTTCCAGTCTGTGGTATATCGATATTCTTAACCAGCACCGTCATTCAGATGCATCCATTCTTCTTTGATCTTCCTTGTTCATTGTCTAGTCTCCCTATGAATATGAGACAATTGGAAATATTGTGACCTAGGTCAGGCACACTTTAGCCCTCCAAGTCTTCCGTCTTTACTCTTGAACACTGTAAAGCATTGTTGCTATTATTGTGAAGTGCCATTGAGTTGGTTCCGACTCATACAGACCCCGTACAGGATTGTGAGTATGTTGCAGGATAGGACAGTATTTCATTCTGCTGCGCAGCACCTAAGAACAACAATAGGGTTTCGAAAGAGCAGCTGGTGGGTTTGAACAGCAGACCTTGTGGTTAGCAGTCCAATGCTAGTCCTACAGCACCTTAAAGCATGAATGCACCCAAAAATCACCTGGTGGGGACAGGTGTGTGACCCACCTGATGCCTCCAAAGTTTCCATGAGCTACACTATCAGAGAGACCTGGGGTCCATCCCTTTAGCTCCATAACCCAGGAATCAAGGGGACTAGGAGTGGACTTTCGAGAGCTCACAAGCTTTCGGAATGAGGGTGACCTTTCTGTAAACCTCAATCTTTTCTTTAGAATAGTGGTCCCAAGCAGGCTTTGGGGAAGATTTAAAAGAACACAGCTAGCAGATAGCAGGTGTAAGGTCAAGGTTGGGAGTCAAGCAACACTACCCAGGATGCAGGTGCTAGTGACATGGTGCACACACGTTGTGGAACTCGGGAACAGGCTCCCCCTCCCAGACCCCACCTGGAACCAGGGGCCGATAACACAGTAAGTAACATAAGCACAGGCTTACTTGTGTTTACCTACTAATCTGTAGTGAACATTTAAACATGTTTGCATTGAAACCCTTGTGAAACTGTTCACTACAGATTCACTTCAAGGATGGAGCCTCCCATCTGTGAAATGGGTAATAATAGTACCCACTTTTCAGGCTCTTGTGAGGGACAAATTGGGGAAAGAAAGTAAGTCAATTTTCCTCTTCCAGCTTTGGTGTACTGATCTGTAAAATGGGAGTATGCTCTCTGACTTCATAGAACTTCATAGAACAGGGTATGACTGTATCTACAAAAGTGACTGAAAACCTACTGTGTGCCGGGCTCTGCACTCAGAGATACCTGCAACGTAAGGAGCATTGTACACCATCCAGGGCCAGAGAGTTCCAGAAACATGGCCAGGCCTGAGGGAGAGCCAGAGCTGGGGTTTCCGAGCCTGCTGAGGTCCCCGAAGGTTCTGGATCAGCTCAGCCACTGGTGGGTGACCTTGAGTAAGTGGACTAACCTCGTCTCATGATCTCCCCCTAGTAAGGGGCCATAATCCTGCCAGCTCATGCCTTCAGTGAGGTTGAGGGTACCAGAGGTTGCGAGTCTGAGTTATTGACAAGAGCAGGAACAGGCTCTGTATTAGGGCTGCCAGAACTCATTACCACAAATTGGGAGGCTAAAAACAACAGAAATGTATTCTCGTGCAGTTTAGGAGGCAAAGTTTCTCTGTAGGCTCTGAGGGAGAAATGTCCCTTGCTTCTCTCTTAGCTTCTGGCAGTCCCTGGCAGT